GCATCGTGTGCCGCGTGGTGGAGATCAAGCGGCCCTTTGGCGTGACCATGTACCGGCTGCGGAGCGGAGCTGGAGTGGTGGAGGGTATGCATCAGGCCAGCAGGCTATCTAAGGCGCCACCCAGCCTGGCCAGCGAGCTGACCTTCAGCGGCACGGCGCAGCGAGGAGTGCCTGTGGTGTCTCTCAATGTGGCGATGGCGGCGCAGCCCGGCGGCGGCAAGGCAGCCGTGCGCTGCGGCTGCCGCGGCGCCTGCACCCGGAACTGCAGCTGCAAGAAGAATGGTGCGCGGTGTGGGCGGCACTGTGGCTGTATAACCGGTAAGGGTGGCAATTGCAAGAACCATTGAAAAAGTGTGCCTTGTACGCTTTGCCGTCTCCGCTGGAAGGTGCTGCCGCCTGTGGCGGCTTCATATTTCCTGTTCATTTCTGTTGTTCGGTCTCTCTGTTCGTGTTGGTTGGCTTGTAAGAGTTGTATTTCTGACGCTAGAGAGGTGAGATGACAGCGGGAGCGTTGAAGCGTGCATGCCATCACGTGTGCAAGCAGCCCCGCTCCGCCCCGCTCAACCCTCAAACAGGGCTATATGGGGTCAGTTCACGTATGGGAGGGGAGCGCCGCGCGGGCTGCCAGGAGGGAGCGGGGGCGGGGGTTGCCCAATCGGGAGGGTGCCACATCAGGGGGCAACACATGACTGAGAGCCTGTATGGTTTGTTCTTGCAAATGCATTGCCAAAATCGTAGGGTCACGTGCATGCATGGCGCATCCTCATTCAATGTTAGCAGATCGGGGTGCAAGGGTAGTTCAAGTTAAGTGAGCGGGTCAGCGCAGGGTGGGGTGGGGGGGTTGCATCAGGGAACTGGGGGTCAAGCATCACCGGGGAGGCGAAGAGTCGGTGTCGAGTCTCGGAATGTGGGGGTAGGGGGCAGGGGTTGGCAGGGCCAGGGCTTGGTACAGGGCAGGGCTTGGGGGTGGGGCAGGAAGTGAAAGCTTCTTGTGGTCTGCATTCGGGTGGCTTTGGCGGGCTGGGACTTGAGGCGCGGGTTGGGTGGCCCTGGTGGCAGCGGGCTCAGACCACCGCGGCGGTGCCGACCCTGACGGAGGCCGCTGCAGCGCCTTGGGTCGACACGGCCTCCCGCGGACCGGGGCTCAGGGGGCAGGGGAGGGCGCCGAGCTGGGCGCGCCGCCCATGCCCTCCAGAGTGTACTGCGCATCCAGGCACTGGCAGCCCTTGCCAATGGCGCCAAACAGCGTGTCGCCGGAGGTGACGCCGCCCTCGGGATAGCTGCAGGCAGGGCAAGGCGGTGCTGTGCTTGTGGTTGGCGCGTTGCCGGCTCCGCGGCTCCCCACAAGCGCGAGCCCCCACGTGCTGGCCGCGTGCAGCAGGCCCCTGCAGCAGCCGCTGGCCGGCGCCACGGCAGCGGCAGCCGCAGCATGGCAGCGGAATGGGTAGAGGACAACCCGGCACTCAGGATCATCCGATGCTAATTTAGGGTGAGATGAATCGGCGGCTCTCACGTGTACAGGTGCCAAGAGTTGAAGTTGGAGTCCTTGATGATGAGCGCGTAGCAGGCGTTGCCCTGGGGAAGGGAGGGAGTGGGGAGGAGGGGCAGCGCGAGGGCGTTCTGTCAGGGAACGGGCAGCAGAGGGCAGGCGGCTGGGCGCCTCACCCCTCACGGCACGTGCGGGGTGCTGCTTGGCAGTGTCGGTGACGGCGGCAGCAGAACCAGCAGCAGCAGCACCACCACAACCAGCAGCAGACAGGCCAACAGGCAGACAAACAGGCACAGGGGCTCGTATATCCATCAGCAGCAGTGGCATGCATGCAGGCAGGTAGGCGCACCACAGCAAACGGCACCATCTCGACCGTCTCAGTCAGCGGCACCTTCTCCGCCACCCAGCCCTCTGGCCACACCACCGAGCCGATGTTGGCATCGAATTCGGCCTCTGTGGTGTCATTGCTGTGCACGGTCTGCAGATGGGGAGGCAGGGGAGGATGAGGGAGGATGGGGGCGGATGTGGGAAGATGAGGGTTCAGGGGTAGGTGGGGAAGGGGCGTGTCAGCGGCAACACAGGCGCTGATTAGGCGGCTGCGCGATGAGGCGGCGTGGGTGGCTGACGGGCTGGGCGGGGAGCAGGCTAGCTGCGGCTGCTGTTGCTCGGCCAGGCAGACTGCTTCACTGACGTCAGTAGCAGCCGTGGCTGGCCAGCACCAGCCACATTTGGCCGCAACAAGCAGCAGCCCACCTGGAGCGCCCACTTGTTGCCCCACTGCAGGGTGGGGGGAAGGAGGGGCGGGGAGGCAGGGGAGGGGGGCCTGGGGATCACCCCCCACACAGATCCCCTTCAGGCCCAACAACTGGGGCTGGGGGGAACCCCTTTTCAGCGCCAAACTTC